TAAGATGACCCAAAAGAAGCCAGGGGTGGTTGTGTATTGTGAAAACATTTTGGAATTTGAATTTGGACAAGTAGTTTTCATTATATATAAAAACTATGACGTTTGACTTTTCCATAGAATCGAATAGGTCTTGTACAATACAGTAGGAGTATGTTGAACTGAGGGAGATGGACTGTATCAACTTATTGGGCCAAATCAAAACCATTATCATCCTTCGGCGGCCTTATTAACTCGTTAGGTTAAACGGGATCCTAAGGCCCACGCCTTGCTGGCGGCGTGCATCGTGGTGTTTGGTCTCGTCGGCCCTGTTTGTGCTGCTTCCTTTCAGCATCATGACTAGCTCAGCCCGAGCAAGCAGCCTAGAACCTCGCGAGAAAATCGGCATTTCAGCAGTTTTTAGCACGAGAAAAACCAACTAGCCTTTAATCTCTATATCGGGCTTGATCACGGATCCAACAACATCTCTTCCTATCTTCAGCTGTTGCTCCTTGAACCCCGTGACTCCTTATCCTCTTAGGGCAGGGAAACGGATCAGATTCGTATGGACCTCACTTTTTACTGCATTTTAATTCTAATTTGAATATTGATATAAATTTTTCAAATACGAATACAAAAAGAATGTCTCCAATTTGAATTTCTATTCGGATACTTACTCAATTCAACGCAAAGTGTATATTGTTATGTTCAATATACATGAATAAAGTTTTACTATAGACAACATCGACAAGGATAGCTCAGCACACATAATATAGTTATCAATACATATTTAATAATTAAGTAAATATATCAACAATAAATCATTATTTAAATATTTATCATGAAATATATATAAAATCATTTACAACAATAGATAAAATTAATTAAAGCATTAATAATTTACAACAACAAATATATTAGGTTAAAACTAAATAGAAAAATAGTAAATTAATTTAATCTTTATGTATCATTAATAATATAAAATTAATATTTAAATTTATTTATAAATACACTATTAAATAGTTTCAATGCATCATTAGTAATATTAAAATTAATTAATTAGTCACTAGTCATGCAGAGAAAACTTTTAAATTGATTAATTATACCTTGTTCTCGCGGATACGGATATGTTATTTTTTAGAAAAGGGAAGAGACTTTCTGCTTTTGTGTCTCTGCACACATCGTTTAAATTATTACTTAGTTTCAGTGACATTGCTAAAGATAAATCAGTGAAACAAGAAATGCAAAAATTGTGTATGACAGAGTCTATTATTTGGGAAGCAAACAACTCCAAGGCGGTCGTCTCTAGTTTTCTGCCTGCTGACTGTAAAGACTCTGTTGTTTCATCATCATGCTGCAACAGTACCCATAACCGCAGTCAATATGTTCCCTAAAAGTAGCCTGCATAAAATGTGCACATTTGCGGTTTTCAAAGATTAGATCATTACAATATCTCCAAATTGCCTAACATAAAGCGGCTACCCCAACCAGAATATATTTCTTTCCTTTTAGATCGAAATTTGATAGCCAAACCTCTAACACGTGGGATACAGAGTTAGGAGGGGTTAACCCAGTAGCTATATAGACAGTCCTCCAAATTGTCTTGGCATGGTAACAATCAAAGAAAATATGTTTAATGGTTTTGTTACAATTACAGAAACAACACTTTTGACTACCTTTCCAATTCCTTTTAATTAGCCTTTGTTAAAATTACCCTCTTTCGAGATACCAAAGGAAATCTTGATTTTTAGAGGAATTTTTAACTTCCAAATCAATTTATGAGAGGAAGGAGTATTCTAATTCATTATGTGAAGATACATAGAATGGACCGTAAATTGACCATTGTTATGTAAGCTCCAAATAAACAAATCTCCCTCGCCAGTTAAATAGATGTGAGTAATCTTGGATACTAAGTCTTCTCATGGATACGAATACATGTCGGATATTCTATATTCTTGTCAAACGCGGATCTGAAATCGGACATAGAGAAATACTTGAAAACGAATTCAAATATATCCATTTAGTATCTACATTAGAAATGGATATGAATACTAATATCCATATTATATGTTTTAACAAATATGAATTCGGATATCAAGATATCCACTTTCACCCCTAGTCCTCTTGACCTGATTGGTAAACCTTCCGTACAGAGAGGCATTAGGCCCTGTTTGGATCCCCTGGCTAAAGTTTAGCCCAGGGCTAAAGATTAGCCCTTAAAATGAAATGGCTAAAGTTTAATCCCTTGATACATGACTAAAAGATGATTAAAAGGTGAAAGGGTGAGGAGAGAAAAAGAGAGTAACATCACCTGTTAGCACTTTTAGCCTCTTTAGCCTACCTTGAAGGGGCTAATGAGCTAATGGAGGGTTAAAGATTAGCCCTTCCTTTTAGCCCTCCTGTTTGGATCCCCAAGGGCTAAAAAATGGCTAAAATGAGATGGCTAATCTTTAACCCCTTGGATCCAAATGGAGCATTAGGACAGCTCCAACAATTGGCTTTTAAGCTACTCTAAGCATTTTTCACATATTTTAATAGAAAAGAGAGAAAGCTTAGCTCTTAATCAAGAGCTAAACTCTTGCACATATTTCAAGGTTACGTGAGATGGTCATGTGGTCCATCTATGCTAAAAGCTATATGCTAAAAGTTAGCGAGACCGAGCCTCAACTCGAGTGGCTAGTGGCGGCAGTGGCTACGCAGCCGGCACAGGGTCGATTCCTAGAATTGACCTACGTCTCTCATCGGGACTAGCTCCCAGAATAAAATCTACAGCCTCATCTCGCGTGGTGCCACGAAGGGACTGTGACGTTCCCGTCGCCTACGAACCTACGATGGTTTCGGTGATCTCTAGAAGGACGTGGTCTTCTACTCTACATGTTGTAGATCTGGTCGTGCACGTGTAGTGTGAGTGTGGTGTGTGTGGATGCGTGCTTGAACAGATGCTACAACTTTACCCAGATGAGAGGCTTAAAAAAGTTAGTACTATTAGAGAGGTTGGCTTAGAGCAAGTATAATAGATCCTACTCAGCCGGCTGTAAGGTAGTCCATGACATTAACATCCTACATGGAGGAAAAAGAAGCGAAGAGAGAGAAGCAGGCGGGGGCTAACCTTACCGCTAGACGCAGCACACGCAAAGAGGGACATGCACCTGCTTGCAGCCCATTCTATCAGCTTGAGCAGGCTGAAAGCCCCTTTGGCCCTGTTTGGATTCTCTAACTTGGTTAGAGTTAGAGTTAGTTTCTAACTCTAACTCTAGCCCTCAACTAACTCTAACCCATGTGGTGTTTGGATGTCAAGGTTAGATTGACAATAATTGCACTTTTCAATCATTTGGCTCATTTAAAGCACCTTTCAGCAGGATTTGGTGTGGCTATCTCTTGTGTGACCTTCTCTCACTCACAAATGACACAAACAAATCATCCTTACAAATGTCGCATCCAAAACACGTTGAATTTAAGAAAAATATACTGGTCGGATAACAACAAATGAATTTATCAAATGGTCTATCAAATGGAACTATCTCCATAAAACAAAGCATGAGCTAGCTCATCACGGAAGGCATTCATGTTGACATCTTCAACAAGAGGTTCATCTTCTGGCCATGCGGATGCAGAAGAACTAGGCATTGGGTTATAATTTTCATCCGCATCACAGGCAGCAAATTCCCTATCAGCAATTCTGCTCTCTCGAATGAAATTATGCAGAGCCATACAAGCAACAATAATTCTAGCTTGCTTTTTCTCAGGAAAACTTGGCATGTTCAACAAAATCCGAAATTTCATCTTCAACACTCCAAAAGATCGTTCAATGACATTCCTAACTTTGGCATGTGCATGGTTGAAGGTTTCTTTCATACCTTGTGGCGGCGGTCCATTGTGCCATTGCTCCACATGGTACCTTGTACATCTGAACGGTGAAAGGTACCCAGCCCGGTTTGGGTACCCCACATCAACCACATAGTACTTCCCTACATATTATGAAAGGCAGGCACACAATTAGAAAGGCAAGCACACAATTAGACTCAGATGAACAAGTTCTATTGGATAAAAAAATGTTGCAAGTTAGTTGAAGTAGCAAACCTGGTGGTGGACGTGGAAATTTGTGTTGATAAGTACTCACAGCATCTTTGAAAACTCTCATGTCATGTGCCGAACCGGGCCATCCCGACAACACAAAGGTAAATCTCATGTCGAAATCACAAACAACAAGAACATTCTGGCTGGTTTCATTGTGCCTATTCAAATATGGAATCCTCTTACTCTTATCCACCACAACCTTCACATGTGTCCCATCTATAGCTCCTATGCAGTCGTTGAAGTGTGGCCAAAATATAGGATTTTCTAAATTTGGGTGCACCTCCGAAAAAGTTGGGTCCTTGGGTACAATTATGTTTTCTGCTAACTTAAGTAGACATATCAAAACTCTGTTAAATGTCATGCTTACTGTCTCCAAAGACCTCATAAAACGGTTGTCAGCCTGTCTAACTGACTAGGGTGAACCAACAATCCATAAAAACATAGCAAAAGCTTCTATAGATGACATTTTTAAAGTGGACTTGAAGCCATATGACTGGATCAAAGTGTTATGTAGCCTGTAAAATAATGGTCTCTCCACCCTAAACATGTTATAGCACTGGGTATCTCGAGCAAGTGTCTCCATGACCCAATCCAAACCAGAATCTCCGTTGACCCTCCTAGGTAGTTTGACAAAGTAATTATCAGAGTACATACCGAAGATAGGAACCAATTGCACGATCAAATTCTCGCTCTGCCTCAAATTGTTACGGCACATGGATATTATTTCATCCTCACTTGAGCTACCTCCATCATCTTCTTCCTGCTCCAACACAAATAACAAAAAAATACGTTCAGCCCATAGATAAAAAGAAATACGTTCAGCCCACAGATAAAAAGAACTACTTTCGGCCCATAGGTAAAAGAAATAGGTTCAACACATCACACACAGATTATAGGTTCAACACATCACACACAGATAGTAATTCAACATCTTAACAGACACATCACTACTCCATATTGTTGTCCCTGCACCATTTCTTGAAGTACCCCAACCTAAGGTCACGAGTTAATTTGCCACAGAAGAACTCCCTTTGGTACTTTGTTTTGAACATCTTGGACATAGCATAGACAGCTTCAACGGTTCGCTCAACGCCACACTCAAATGCCAGCTCTTGACACCTCTCGACAGAACGTGCAGCCTTCTCAATTGCACGTTTCTGCATTTCCTTAGTGTTGATTGCGACGGACTCCTTGTAGGTACTGGCTATGTCCGTCACAACCTTCACCATTGGGCTCTTGCTTTTCTTCACTGGACTTGACAAAATGCTTGAAGTGCTTAATGACCTCTTGCCCTTCTGGCTCCTCTGGGTGCTTGTACTTCTAGGTGTTGTTTGAAAGTCTTCCTCTTCCTCTGACTCTTCATCTTGCCCCTGACTCTCACCATAATCATCTCCAGGCACAAAGGCACTGCTTCCATCCACAGTGCACCCTCTAAAAAGTTGGTCAAGCAAATCCTCATTTGCTGGAGGACCCCACTTCAGCTTCTTTAGGTATGGTTTCTTCTACAGTGACAAATAAAATTGATGAGTTGCAAAACAAATGCCAAGATTGCTGACATGTTGCAAAATAAATTGAGTGCTAATACCTCTGTATTTGTTATCCAGAAATCAGAGTCGGCATCAATGGATCCATCTAGTTTCCTCCCCAATCCCGTGTGTGTTTGCATGTAACACCAGAAAGAGTAGGTGCTTTTCAGTATGAGTATTTGGTTCTTCACCTGTAAACGGTTATAAAGCAAACGCCTTCTAGCCAGTAACCCGTCGATAACGGCTCCGTAACCTTCACCACTCATTTGTGAACCATTATATGTTCCTGCTGCACGTTGCTCCAGGCACAATTCTAACAAGCAAGCACTATTAACATCATTCCATTGGGCTCGATTGGTTTGGCTCACCGATAAACCTCCGGAACTCGCTAACTCCTCCGCATCATCCTCCATTTCTTCATCAGCGTTGTCAAAGGGAGCGCCGGAGCCAGATGGTTGCCCACGAACGGTACTCCTCGGTGCCCTCGGTAGCCGGGAACGCGGTACGCACTGGCCGCTTGCCACGGAGAGGCCGTTGTCTTTGGTCTTGTTACCGTTACGACGGATGGGTGCCGTAGCGGCCGAGTTCGCACGCTGCCGGACACTGCCGCCTGCCCCCGAAGATGACCCGCCTGGGAAGACGCCACCGTTTCCTCTTCTGCGACCGGTAGCAGCAGAGGACGAGCCTCCAAAGTTCAGCTAGAGAGCAAAGGGTTGTGCCGAAGTCGCCTTTCCGCCTCCCGGCTCCAGCTCACGACGACGGATGGGGCGAGGGAGGGAGCCGGAGCCCTGTCGTGGCTCGGGAGGATCTCATCGTCGCCGCTCGGAGGATTGATCCGTAGAGACCCAATCCCGGGAACCCCTCCCCGGCTGGCGCTTCAGAGTTGAGGTCGAAGCCGGCAGCGGGAGCGCCGGCAGCGGGAGCGCGGGCGGGGCCGTTCGCCGACGTCTGCGAGTCCCCAGTCGTCAAAGCCGTCTCCGTCCATCGCGGGTGAGGAGCTGGAGCTGGTGGTCGTTGGCGAGCCGGATGTGGGGAGGTGGAGCGCGAGCGAGATCTGGGTCGGTTGGCTCTGGGGCGGCGCGCAGCCTCTGCTTCGGGGCGGGCCGGGAAGCGCTGGGCGAAGCGCGGGCGCTGTGCCGGGCCTTGCCTGGGAAGCGCCGGGCGAAGGCGGGCGAAAGGCGAAGAAAGTGGGGAAGCGCGAAGCAAGGGGCGAAAGCTTGAAGGCGAGGTGGGGAAGGGATAAATGGGGCGAGTCGCGGTTATTTGGGTAGAAAGGCAAGCAGTATGGAGCGAAATAGGGCCATGGCGGCGGCGCTCCATCTAGTCGTCGATGAGGCGCAAGGAAGGGGATAAATCGAGCGATGGGATCCGGTGCGGGCTAGAGAGGTGAGAAAACTGCTTTCTAGTATGGACCCCACCAGAAATAACCCCAATTAGCATCTCCTTGGGGAGCTAGTTTTTTTGGATGGGTTAGATGCTTTTAACCTTACTCTAACCCACCTGTTTGAATATTTCAGGGTTATTTAGACTCCAAATAACTCAAACTAACTCTAACCATGGAATCCAAACAGGGCCTTTATCTCGCTATCAACTTGCTAGAGCATTAAATGCAGAAGTTCCTTTGCAGCCCATTCTTCCAGCCGGCACAGTTTACGCACAAAGCTGGTACATATGTGTCCCTGGTACCCAGCCTTCTCGCAACTTGCTGCAGGCGTTTCTATTAGCCTTGCTGGCCAGTACCACTGCGGGTCTCTTAAGGGCACGTACAACGTATCTGTTTGTACCGTCTGTATGCCACTAATTTTGTTCTATTATGTTTTATATTAATATATCATTTATATTTATGATTCCAAAAAATATTATAACCATGATCATCTTATTTATGCTGGATCTTTTTATTATCAACCAGCAACACAATGGTTACATGAATCATATTCATGCTTAATCATGGCTACATACAAGTATTAAAGAATTAACAGACAGATAAACAGACAACCCATTGTATGCGCTATCTATTTAGCCATCTGTATAGGATGTGACATCATCATATAGACAACAAGCTGTCTATGAGTTGTACATGCCCTTAGACGTGCCTTTAGATTGTCCTAGTAGCATAGGCATCTTGACGTATTATAGGCATCCTAAGGCTGTCTTCGATAGAAGATTTATTATAGAACCCAAATCTAAAATATATCTCCAATATAATATCTATAGTCTCCAATAGAGTATTTATATGAAAAATCTATTTTAGGGGTCAGGAGAGGCATAACCTAAATCTAAGTATCCTCTCTCTTGAAGACCCATTTACAGAAAGAGTTGTCTTTTGAGTCTTGTTGTTAAATAAGACAAAAAATAGGTATTGAACCATTTGCCTGTAGCGCTACCCAAAGGACGAATGTGTCTTGTATTTTGGATCGCGGTTGTTGGAGACAGTCTAAGGCCTTGTTTAGTTTCTCTCCTAAAAGTTTACTCCCTATCACATCGAATGTTTGGACACATGTATGGACTATTAAATATAGACTAAAAAAATAACTAATTACACAGTTTGCGACTAATTTTCGAGACGAATTTTTTAACCCTAATTAGTCCATGATTTGACAATGTGGTGCTACCGTAACACATATGCTAATGGCGGATTAATTAGGCTTAATAAATTCGTCTCGTGGATTACCGACGGATTCTGTAATTTATTTTTTATTAGTATCCGAATACCCTATACAACATCTTCATATAACATTCAATATGACACTTTAAAACTTTACGCTCTGTATTTAAACGAGGCCTCGTGTTATCAATGCTACGAAATTTGTAGTAGACGAGGATCTGCGACCTGTGAGCCAGCATCTATCTCGAGGCTCGAGATGGATGGCTCTGCGACCCGAGGAACTGGAGGTCTGCGAAGTTGGATGCTAGCGTGAGACAAACCACAAACGTCGTCAATCGGCAAGAGGTCCACACGCCGGCCACCCGGCCGCGTCGATACTACTGTCTCCACACAATTTTCCCCGCTGACTGAAGGCGAGCCCCGACCTCGCCTACACTAGGAGTAGAGGAGAGCTCGGCGTGCGTGGTCGCTGCTGCAACCCACTTCTGTATTCTATCACTGTTCTTGCCTTGTTACTTCTGAGTCTGAACGATGTTGGGTTTCTGTCAGTGTTTCAGCGCCGTCTGCCACTTTGTATTTTAACAACATTCAGAATTGGAGTTGAGTCGTTGAATCTCTTCTTGTTCTCCTCTGTTCTGTCTGGTGTGTGTCCAGCGCCTAGAACACTCAGTGAAATCCATCCATGCTAAAATTTGAGGTGACCACCAAAAACAGAAGACATATTTTGATTTATTATATAACTGATGAAAGGAATAAGGTTAGCCAAAGGAAACATTTGTTTTTCGCACAAGTACCTCCAACGACAGGCAAATGTTATGAACAGCGCGCGAGCTCACTCCGAGATAGCAGATGCACAGGCACTGAAGCGGCGACCATGCCGAGTGCCATCTCTTGATCGTCAACTTTGTGTACCGTGCCATAGTCGTTAGCAATTATCAAGTCTAGGGTCGTACTACCAAGAAGTCGCGCTTACAAGATTAATAATATCTGAATCATGATGGGGAAAACTAACGACAGGATGGGATCTCATCCAGATGCACACTGGGCTGTACTGATGACCAACTCAATGTCAGTTCATGCAACTGTATGAGCAATGGACAGTTTGACTAAAAGCAAGTTGGCCATGAAGTAAACTGAGCGTCCTACTCACTGCATGTTACTCCACGTGAATCTTCTCTTTCTAAGAATTATCTCTATTGGCTCTGACTTTGTCAAAATTTAGTGCTCCATTACATTAGACATTTGATTGTCAGTAACATTGTGGCTCCTCAATAGCTCTTAATTTCTACTACAAGCCAGTTAAGCTGTCAATCGCATAACATGATTGTTATTGCCCGGCAGGGCTTCACGGCAGATGCTTCAACTGGCTCCTAGTCGCACCGAGTAGCGACTTGTCGGTTGCCACGGCGTTGTCTGCACTGTCGCGGATTCGGACACCTCTGCAGGCGAAGGACTGCTTCGACCTCGGCGGCGGCGGGTGCCAACCGGCCACGGTACTCTGCTCGCGATGACCCTCTGTCCTCCCAGTACGCGCCGCGCGGCGGTGTGGAGGGTACCGCACTGAGGGTTGTGGGGGCGCCGGTGGGAGACGACGACGACGTCGGCAACGCAAGACTAAGCCGAAGGACATCGGCATGGGTGTGCCTGCCGACCACGCCGACAAGGCACCTACTTCTACTGTTGCACTATGCTTCCCCGAGCCAGATCTGCTGGCGCTGGCGCTGTGCGTGAGTGCGGGGCCTCCCGCACTGGTCATATCTTTTGACCCGATGCTGGAGGAGCTCGCCGCCTCGCTCGTCGTGAGCCGTACTCTGGAGGCTGCCTCTCTGGGGATTGAGGAAACGTCTCCGGCACCGGCTGCTCCCTCGCCTCAGTTACTGCTGGTGCAGGAACTGCGACAGCTCACGACTATTCAGGTGGGACTCGACGTCGAGGATGACGACGTGACGCCCACGCCACGTGAGGCCACTCGGCGTCTCGCAAGGTTCACCGAGGAGGTGCAGTACAAGAGAAAGTCGCCATTGATCGCTAGTCCTCCAAGGCAGAAGGCGGTAACAAAGCGCCCCCAGCCAATCAGGAGCAGGCGGATTGCCGCTCAGCCGTTGTCGCATGTACCCACCTCCAAGCAGGGCGAGGTACTACTCGTGTAGAGGATGGGCATCGCGCCGCCGCGGGCACCAGTTTCTTCCGCGTCCAAGGGAGCATACGACGCCATTTTCACTAGGAACTTGACGTCGAGCCAAGTTGAAGCCCTGGACAAGTTATTTCCAGCGGCCAACACCAGGGTTGGTAGAAAGCTCTTCTCGGACGCCGGAGTAGGACCGCGTAGCCAGCAGCGGAGGCGCCCGGCTTCGTAGGTTGCAGCGCTGCCCTTAGCTCGGTTGTTGACCTTTTTTATGTAATATCGAAGCTTCGAATGGTTTGCTACGACGGTCCAGTCTACGGCTGTAAGACCACCGAGGGCGTTTCTATGAAGTGCGTCGTTTGTATGATTAAACTCTTCTTCTTAATTATAATGATACGTAAATCTTTTGCGTATTCGATTTTTTTTATTGTTATTGCCCGAGACAAAGGCGTCAATAGTGCAAGCCATTTTAGTGCTTCTTGAGGCCATCCTTTGTTGAAGACTAGTCACGTATATAGTTGTTGAAGTGGAAGAGTAGTTTAGTAAATTTATTGTTAGGTTTAATCCCATATCAGAAATCAATGGAAAGGAGCACAATTTATAGTTAACAGAAAATGCTACACATAGGTGATAACAGCGGTTTGAAATAACAACTGTGATGATTGTCACTCTATCTAACTTAAGGGCCGTTGAACCGGCAGCGATGGTAGCAATACATGCATAAGACAAAACTATACTGTGAAAAAATTTACATGTTATTTTCTCTATAATAAATGAAACCCCATGCATCTCTCTCAACTACATTCTTACCCCATAATATAAAAACACTGACATGGTACTCTATTTAATAAGAACGAAATTTTCATTGTGAGTGGCTGATGTGAACTGTGATGATCCTACTATAAGTGCACATTTGGAACAGTTGAGTGTGACTGATCGTTGTTATTGGAACCCAGTGAAAGGTGAATATGATATTCTCCTCTTCAACGACTTCAAGTCAACTTGAATAGGTAATAACATGGTGTGATCTACACATTAGATATCCCATCTATATAATTTAGGCTAGATATTCCCTTAGTTGGAGCCTATAAATAGGATCAGCCGCTCAATCATATGAAGATGGCCATGGCCTGTTCAAGAGCGAGGGCAAGGGCCGCCTCCTCACTGGTGGCGCGGTGCGCCGCCTCCTCGGCAAGCCAATGCGTCTCTACGTCAGCGCGACGCTTGTTGTCGGATGGGGCAATGGAGAGAGAGGGAAGAGGAAGGGCAACATAGGGATGTCGCAACTGGCCAGGACGCAGCGAAGAAGAGGCTGCGGTGGCTCGGGTAGGGTTTAGCGGAAGCTCGGTCAAAGGAAGCGAGGGCTAATTGATACCATGATAGCATGGGAAATTTGGGTAATCACGCGATAATTTATACTGAACAAACACGTGTACATATAGAGACCTGGCCAGGCTATGCGGTCACATGCATGCATGGGCTGGTCCCGATTACAAGAAGGCTAAAGTGATTGGCCTGATGATGTCTAACTTTATATGTCTAACAACGTACAGTACAATTAAACTTGAAACCTGAGCACATGTTGCCATGGCGGGTGAAGGTCGACGGTGCCACGTCGGGCCATGGCACCTCGACAGCCGATGACATCGTGCCGAGCAGGGGAGGTGAGGAGGCAGGGAGGCAGGGCACAACAGTGCTTTTGGCGGCGTTGGCGCCGCGTTCATTCGCCCAGAGTTCGTCGCCATGCAAGCGGCATCTTGGGTGCTTGGCCAGGGATCAGCGGCAGTGGCGGCATTTCGTGAGAGGAGAAAAAAGCGACGCATGATTCGACTACAAGGAATAAAGTACCATACCTAGGTTAATTAGGCACATGGGCAAATTTGTCAATTTAGGTGGTTAATTTAGAGAGATTAAAAGGTGGTAAAAGATAGTGGAATGGTAGGGAATGCAAGAAACACATGTAATAAATGGTGATTTTACGAAGTCTATGATAGAAAGGGTAAATCGGCGAAGCCTATCATTAGCAGTGGCAATTGCAATTTGAACAGCGCAAGCTCGCTCCAAGGTAGCAGATGCACAGGCACTGAAGCGGCGACCATGCCGAGTGCCATCTCTTGTTGCTTGTCGTGTACAATTCTCGTTTTTCGAGGAGTTAGATGATTTGTATTTAATCAAAAATTATATAAAAAAATACTAACATTTATAATACAAAATAAGTATCATTAGATTAATTATGAAATGCATTTTTATGATAAGTTTATTTAGATACATAAATATTAATATTATTTACTATAAATTTGGTTAAACTTAAAGTCAGTTCATGCAAAGAGAAGGAGGAATATATTAAAACTCGACACATAGTACATCCCTAAATTACATATGAAGAAATCTAAAATAAAAAATACACAATATTCTATCCAGATTTTTCCATGTTCTTCTTCCCCAATAGCATCACTTGAACGCCGAAGCTAAAGTGCAGTCTTTATGCCGAATCCAACGAACTACCCTAAACATTGAACATGCCGCAAGATTCAACGCTAGCTTAACTAACACAAATTCTATAATTGTATTTTTTTCTGGGACAAAGGAAGCATAAAATCTAGGGTCGTGCTAGCAAGAAGTCACGCCTACAAGATTAATATAAATCCAGATGGGAAAAACGACAGGATGGGTTCTCATCCAGATGCACACTGGGCTGTACTGATGACCAACTCAAAGTCAGTTCATGCAACTGTACGAACAATTGACGGTTGACTAAAAGCAAGTTGGCCATCAAGTAAACTGAGCGTCCTACTCACTGCATGTTACTCCACGTGAATTTTCTATTTAAGAATTAGCTCTATTGGCTCTGACTTTGTCAGAAATTAGTGCTCCATTAGACAATTGATTGTCAATAACATTGTGATGGGCTCCTCGATTTCAGCTCTTAGTTTCTCGATCGTACAAGCTAGTTAAGTTGTCAATCGCTCAAAGTGATTTTTATCGCCTGAGACAGAGTTGTCAATAGTGCAAGCCAGTTTAGTCTTTCTTGGGGCCATCCTTAGTTGAAGACTAGTCACATTTATAGTTGTTGAAGTAGAAGACTAGTTGTCGGTGCAGAAAGTGACCAACATGTAAATATTTGTAGTTTTGTCGTACGTTGTGATCGGAGGTGGCCTAGCACTCAATGACACATGGTTTATACTGGTTCAGATAACGTGCCCTACGTCCAGTTTGAGTCGGTTGGTGACTTTATTCCTGAGCCTAGGTGCTCGAAGTTTGCAGTGGGGTTACAAACGAGAAGGAGAAAGATGAGGGTACGAGAGGTCCGGTCGGACTCTGGTCAGAGGGGCCGAGAGTGACGGGAGCTCCACTATGTTCTAAGTGAACTTGATCGATCTGATTGAATCTATCTATTAGAAGAGAGCGCACCCCTTTTATAGATGAATGGGATGGCTTTACAAGTGAGAGGGAGAGAGTACGTATGCTACTAAGTCTTGTTGCCCACGCCGGCGGGTACAGGATGATGGTAGGCGCCTACAACACTGTTGAATGTCAGATGCACGTGGGAGGTTGTGTAGTCTTTTTCAGGTATGGCAGACGTCGGCGCCTGACACACTGTTGATACCCGGAGGTTTGCAAGGGTTTTTACCATGTTCGTCTGGTACGGTAAATGCCGACGCCCACAACACTGTTGATGCCTAGAGGCATGTGGGGGGAGCCTTACCGTATTTGTCTGGTATGAGAGTTAATGGCGCCCACAACATTGTAGGGGAAAATGTCGGCGCCTACAACACTGCTTGAGTTCTGTTGTACCAGGAGGGTCGCAGGGCACTGCCTGGCAGGTGCGCTGGGTACGGTCCCTGATATTGCGGTTTGACTTGGGCGCCCTGCCTTACTTTCTTCGTCCGTTCCCTGGTCCTTACCGAGTGAGCGTCCCCGGTCGGTTAGTCCCAGTCGACTCTGAATGCGCCAGTTGGAGAAGAGCAGCGAGCAGGGGTTCGGCGTATCCCCGGTCGGAGACGCGGGTCGGAGTCGGAAGCAGTGTTTTGGCCAGGCCTTCCGGTCGGAGAGGCCGTCCGGAGGTGGGCTGGAGACCGGAGCGAGCGCTCCGGTCGGAGAGACGGGTCAGAGTCGGAAGCGAGCGCCGTTCCTCCTCGGCCAGACCTTCCGGTCAGAGATCAGATCGTCCTTCTGGCCTGTCGTCTTAGGTATTTGGGCCGGTCCATGAGTTGCGCGTTGCTCGCAACGTTGTTCGTTGGGTCGAGCCTTTGTTGGGAAGCCGGTCCATGAGGGACCCCAGGTTTATGAACCCGACACTAGTTTAGTCAATTTATTGTTAGATTTAGTCCAACATCAGAAATCGATGGAAAAGAGCGCAAATCCTACACATAGGTGACAACAGCAGTTTGAAATAACAATTGGTTGTGTTATAACATATAAGAAAAAAGCCTTTAAAACTAGGTTGCGTTACAAACCAGTTGTGATGGTCACCCAAGCACTACAATCGGTTCTCGATGTAAGTTTGGACGTTGAACCGTTAGTGGCGGTAGCGATACATGCAAAAGACACTACACCAGGAAAAAATTTAGAAAGTGAGCCTTAGCTCAACTGATTGGGTGGGAGATGTGGTCATGCACCCCACTCAGGTTTAAGTCCTCTCTTGGACCTAATTTGGGTGGCTTTTTCTCTTCTTATTAATTATTAATCAAAAACCATCTAGCTCCTTCTAGGTTGGATCCCTTTTTTTCTGCACTGGAAAAAATTACATGTTTATAAATGAAACCTCTTGCAACCATCTCAACTATATTATTCTGACCACATAATAAAAAAAACTGACATGGTACTCTATTTAATAAGAATGAAATTTTCATTGTGAGTGGCTGATGTGAATTGTGATGATCCTATTATAAGTGCACATTTTTGGAACTATTGAGTTAATTGTGAGCGATCAACTTTAGTTTTATCTCATATTGTAACACCTGAGGTCATGGGTTTGACTTTTCGTGGGAGAGAATATTACAGGATTTAACGGCTTTGTGCCTTCAGTGTTGGGCAATGTTTCTGTCAACAGTAAGGTGCTTGTGTTGACTTTGTAAATCTCTTCTCAAGGATTTATTGGTCCAGTCTTCGAAGGTGCTCATAAGGGTAGGGTTTGCGTGTGTGCGTTCGTAGGGGTGGGGGTGTGCGTGCGTTGTGAGTGTCTACATTCTACCGTGTAATAAAAAAATGTGTATGTGGGAGCGAATTAATGAAACATAGTGAAAGGTGAATATGATATTTTTCCTCTTCAACGACTTCAAGTCAACTTGTATGTATAATAACATGGTGTGATCTACACATTAGATACCCCATCTATATAATTTAGGCTAGATGTTTCCTTAGTTGGAGCCTATAAATAGCATCAGCCGCTAGCTCAATCATACGAGCACCAACTAATCTCGTTGACACCCTATCTCCTGATCTCTCTAGCTAGGTTAATTAGCAAGCCTTGCCGTGTGCGTTCATCAACAGCAATGGCTTCTGGTGCCGCTGCCGCTGTCGCTGCCGCCGTTGGGTTTTTTGCCATTATGGTCCTGTCTTCCCTGGGGCACACAGAGACAGGGCCGTTATGCAGCGACTGTGGATTGCTGTGCACTATGAAGTGCATAACAGAGATCGCCACCACCTGCAGAAGTTACTGTGAGAACCCCTTGGCTGCTAGGCAGTCGTGCGAGAGGCAGGTCTTTCAGGCGTGCACGGTGACCTCCTGCTGCTACGGCAACTGCAGCCGTGATTGCATCTTGGAAGCCAATAATGGTTGCCAATTTGTCCACGACACTACTATCAATTGCCAGTCTTGCAGGGGCGGTATACTCCAGTCCTGCGTTCCCGCCTGCTACAGCAACTGCAACAGCACCTGCGTGAAGAAAGAAGATGGAAGCTGAGCTCTTCATCCAAACTTGGTCTCATTCTGTGTGCTTGGCCGTCTCGTATATGCGCGGCTGTAGTATGCATGAAGCCCCTTGAATCTCCAGGTCTGGGATATGTCTACAATAAAGCACCTTTGCAGTGTAATTTTTCAGTATTTTATATGGAGTTTTGCTTGTGTGGCCCTCGAACGATATGCATGGATCTCAAAGCAAACAAATTACTCCCTCCATCCCAAAAAACCTGACGTCCTGGGCAACCGAAGCATTTTCGTGAAACCTGACGTCCTGGGCTCCCGAGGCCTCGCGAGGACGGGTTTACCCCTGGCGAGCCGCTCGCCAACGGTTCCTTCGACTACGCATTAATCGCTCGATGGACCGACGCCTCGTTCTCTTGGTCGCCGCCGTCCTCAGCTCTTGCGTGGAGTAAAGGCGCTGCAGTCCCTCCGCAACACCTCGACGCGCCGTTCTTCTCCTGCCGCTGTGCCGCAGGTGCTCAAACGCAGCATGCCGCCGCCCTCCGCAGCACGCAGTGTTTAGGGTTTTACCGCGCCGCCGCCGCGACCTTGTACGGTTCAACCAAGAACATCGACGCACGCCCTCGCCTACCTCCGCAGCACGCCCTCGCCTACCTCCGCACGCCCTCGCCTACCTCCGCAGCACGGCGCCGCCGCCAGCACGCGCCTCCCTCGCCGCGCCATGGAGTCCGCCGACGCGCTGAACTCGGAGGGCACGGACTCTGTTGTGGCCATGGAGTCCGTCGATGCGCTCGACTTCGTCGACGTGGTGCCGGACTCCGTCGAGGAGGTGCCGGACTCCGACGTGGTGCTACCGGACTCCATCGAGGTACTGCCGGACTCCGACCAGCTGGACGAGGTTGTGCACTGTCCTCGCTGCGGCACATTCCATGCTGGCGGCGTCTTCGGCGAAGCATGCTACGAAGCTCGTCGCGAAGCTCGCAGGTGTGCCCGTTGTGGCCTTTTACATGAGGACTACAATCTCGCAGCAAGGGTGTGCGATAAGATGGAAAAATTTGATTGTGAGGTGTATATTCCTGATGTGCACGAACTTCAAATGAGAGGTGACACAATTCTTCTTCCTGAGCACGTAATGAAGAAGCTGGACGAACAATACAGTATGAAGAAACTGGAAGAACAAAAGCTGAAGCAACTGGAGTCACAAGCTAACGACGAGTGCATACAGGATCAGTAAGGTGCAAAAGCTAACATACAGTACATGCATTATCTAATTTGGTGCAAAAGCTAACTTGCTTCTTCTAATGGTTTCATGCAGGGAGAGCAGCTAGTGCTTCGGCTAGCAAAGAAGCTTCACAGGGGACTTGCAATGGCAGCCTATCTTGGCCGAGCACAAACACACAAAAACATGAGCCTAGGGATATAATTCTTGTTCTTGCAAGTACTATGTGGTTCATCTTCCTCGGGTAGCAAGTAGTATCTCTCAGATTTTTGAGAGATGTAGAACCATTTCTCATCAATAAACACAAAGTCAAACAAATCCTTAAACTTTGGATCATCAACTAAACCTTGCTCAATCATGTCAATGCACCACTTCAACCTAGTCTTCTTGTTAGCCTCGGTGAGGTAAGGTTTTATGCTACTAGAGTGGCGTCTAAGCAAACCTTTTTTCAAGTACCTATGTATCCTAGATTTGCTAATACCAAGTCTACTAACACATCTTCTATGGTCATTCTTTGCTTGAGAGGAATGTCCCGCAATTTTTCCAAATCAAGAGGGATTGCTTTACGGCCACTTCTACCTTTCTTTAGATTAGGAACCATGACTGGAATGTTGTGAGCAAGTCGGTTTTTACCTTGCTTCCATATGCGCTGAACTGATCGAATCTTTACTCCAAATTGAGCACCAACAATTGTTGTATCTTGCTTGCCTAGTTTCCCATTCTTACTTCTCATCAACAATGCTTGGTACACTTGTTATCTAACATGATCAGAATAGTCATGCTTCGGTTGATTTACTTGATCGGCATGTTGTTCTAACAAAAGGAAAAAACAACCATTTTAATAGTACTCACGGCATGCTCTCAATATATGAAAAAAAAACAAAGACATTCAACAACAGATGCTCACGGCATGTTCTAGCTCGTCATGCACAAGAGAAGAAGAACATGCTGTAGTACATGCAGAAGAGGAAAACAAGAGACGAAGCATTTTACCGATGCCATGCTCGTCATCTTCAGGCTCGTTCAGATCAAAGCCGGCGTCGCCATCGTCATTTTCAGCCTCGTTGAGATCCAAGGCAAGGTTGCCGTCGTCATCGTCCGCTAAACGTTCAGATCAAAGGGAAAGAAAGCATCAGCTTCATTGCAAGTACGGAGAAAACGAAAGAACAAAATGAGAAAAAAATTACCAGCAAGGTTTTGTAGGTAATCGAAATCGACAGCACCAAAATCATCTAATGGCAAGTTCAAATCGAACCCTGTCCAAAAAAAGAAGAAAGAAAATGAGAAACGTTACCACACGTTCTTGCTTTGAATATAAAACAAAAAAACCAAACAAACTGAGTAGTACATTACCATTTATGGTGTCGTCCTCCAATATTGGCTCATTGAGATCGACGTCGCCGTCATCTTCTTCCAAACGAACGTTCAAATCAAATGGATTAGCCATTGCATTTGAGAAGGAGTGGAGAAGGAAAGAGTGGAGCACGACAAGCATGGGAGTGGTACAGTGGAGAACGAGGCGTTTTAAATGAAGCAGCAGCCAGAGCAGTCGAAGCGTCCGGAGACCGGCCAGATTAGCGCCAAATTAGAATGCTTGGAGCGCAGACAGAAAAATTACTTGGCCACGCACAAACCCGAGCGCGAACGGCGCAAAAACAAGCACCAACGCTGCCCAAACGCGCCAAAACAACACCAAACGCGCTCCCACCCGCACCAGTGCCATGCGAGCCAACGCGCACGTGCCACGCCCCACCCAAACCCATGCAAAATGAAGCCACGGGCAAAAAAAATGCGTCCACAGAGTTTCGACCTCGGGACTCAGGGCTCACCCACACCACACTAACCAGATGAGCCAGGAAACTTTCTCGTATGGATAGCGCTCGCAACAGTATTTAATAGGGGTATATAGAGAAAACTATACCCTAATTAATGACTCCTCGGTAAGCACAATCATATCCCAAACGTCAGGTTTTTTGGGATGGGGAGTATTAATTAAATATTTTCTTGACTTTTGTAATCAATGGTCTCATCTAGGCCTGAGCCTGGCCTTGCCCATGCCTAGCCTGTGTGCATTGACTTATACTCAGTACTCTCGGTGACGTGGAAAAACTCTAATTTATTTTCCTCAACTATTACGGTCGTCTGATTTTACTCCATGAACTGTAATTATTATTTGTTAATAGAAGCTCTCGTTATCTATTGCTATTATAATTAGTATATGTTGATCATTTGGACAACGTAGAAGCGTTGTCGTTAACATAGACCAATTATAATAAACCATGAGAGCATGCATATGCGTGGCAGGGTGCATGCAGCCACACAGGCTAAACACAAGTACTTTAAAATTTAGCAATGGCAGAAGAACAGTGCCCACTACAATCCTGACGATCGATGCTCCACTAGCGCGTCTACATAGTCCAAAAGATCAACCTCAACAGATTATAATAGATAAGGAGAGCTTCTAGTTAAAAAATAACTACCAAAATAAGTCTATCGGGATTTATACAATTTCAAGCTAGGCACCATAGGATAGAGCACGATTTTAGAAGAAATCTGAAACTAGTTTCATAATTGTTTGAGGTAAAATAAACTTTCTATGAATTGTATAAAATTAAACTAGATTATAGGATTTTTATTTTTTCCAAAAAATATTTAGATATTTTTTTTGAAATTTATTTTAATAAATTTTGGATTTTTTGTGAAAATATTTCTAGTCCAATTTACTTTCTCGAACTTTTAACTTAGTCCACTTTACTTTTTCTAGCATGACATTAAGTCAGCAAAATCACTATCAAAATCATCAAAGATGCAAAACAAACGGTTTTAGAAATTGAAAGCGGGTCAAAAAATTGATTTTTATAATTCATGAAGCAAAATCAAACTGCTGCAGCAGTTGAGGGAAATAAAATGGACCTTTTCCTTGTCACCGATCCAATTTTCTCATCGGTAGCTAGCCACTCCTCAAGACTAAGGTTTTTTAAGCAAAAGTTCAGACTATATTGATTTATATACACCCTCAGATTTGCTAAAAGGGACGAGGCCCATGGGCCAGCACACGGCCCCTCACCAAATTGTGCCCGTGCCAGCATGACCCAAGACCCATGGTGCTTCTCATGCTTAGGCCGCTCTCCCCTAGCTCATGGTATGTTCCGGCATGGCCTGCTAAACATCAACCGGTTGCTTAGAAAATACCCGGCAATATACTTGAACTAATGTGGTTTCGGTAATGCAAGTTTTCCACTGAGTTTTTGCAAACGGAAACTCTAAGTGACGACCCGTCGCGCTTCTGCGCGAGTGCGCGACCAGCGCTCACGCGGGCTGGCCTGCCTGACGCCCATGCGGCCTGGGGCGCCTAGTGCATGCATGCGTACATCGTTTGATAGTGTTTGCATAATTCACGCCATGCGACCGGCCCGCCGCCCAGTGCATGTGAGTGTAGTAGACCATTAGATAGTGTTTCGCTGCAGCTCCTCATGAGAGATGGAAGTAGGCTGCTCTATACATTTTTGTTTTGCTTTCTTTCTTTTAAAAATACAATAACTTTCTTATACTTAGTCCATTGTTAGTTTTATATGCACCATTATATTTCTAATGATGAGATCTATAAAACTAGACCCATGCCTATATTTTAAAATATATTCTTTTGTAGTGGTTACTTATGTTGTGTGTGTATATATATATATATATATATATAGTAGCTACTTACGAACTTTATAGATTATGGTAATCAAAATAAGTGTCTACTTGCTAAAAAATAACTTACCGAATACTCGAAATTACACTTGACAGAAGCATATAATTTTAAACGAATTTGCGGAACA